ATGCTCTAAACCCCTTGGGCCTCTACTTTGCATCGTCTAATATCTGCACCGTCAAGCTTTTGCTGCATTGGGATCTCATGTCCGTCCAGGCATTCATCAGTGGGACCAGCGGCAACTTCCGCCTCGGAGATATTCACAATGAGTTGCTTTACTTCTACTTTGCGCTCAATTCTCTGCTGATTTTCTCGCTCATCCTCATTTCAATTTACCCCTCTTCTGCCCGCGTTTGCAGATGCGAAAAAGGACACCCGACATACTCCGTAGCAGCCCTGAGAAACCGTGGACAAGGAGCGGGAAATAGATTTCCACTGGCCGTGGACTGAAAACGCAGTGAGTCCGTGCCCGTCCCTGGTTCAGCCCATGGATGTCATCCATTGGTTCATCGCTCGAGACCAACGGTCGGGAATCAGGGCCCTTGACTGGCTTGTGGCTGTTATCCGACCGGCCAATGACCACGTAAGGCCTCAGGGTCTGGAAGAACAAGGCTTTTTCATTTGAGGCATTTCCGCGCTGCGCTGTACCAATTGTCTCTTCAGGGTGTCCTGATACTGTTTACGAATCTGTCTCACTAAACTTGCCACGACAATCAACGCCCCCAAGGTAGTCGTTGATTGTCTTGTCACCTGTGATTCGCCAACCTTGTGCTAAATGACGGGGCAGCGGTTCGTATGACGGAGCTAAATGCCTTAGACCAGAGTACTTTCGGCAAGCCGAAGTGTAAATTTCAAGACCTACGGACCACGGCATTCCGTACCTAATCTTAGCTTCCGTATCAGCCTAGAGATGGTGAAACATGGCTGGCTGCACGTTGGCGGCCGCTTGCAGCATCAATCTCGAAAATCTATCACTCAGAGGTCGTTATCAGACATCATTGGTCTTGTTTTCGGGGTCTGCGTGCTCCCGCTGATGAGCCTGTGATCGAGCTGCGTCACCGTTGGAGAGGCTTTGGTGCGATTAGCCATCACCAGAGTTGTTCGATGGATCCGGCCAGCAGGGATCATCATGGAGGCTGCCTACAGAAGGCTGGGTGGTGGGAAGGGGGTTGGAACAGCCCAGCACAACCTGCAATGGCGGGCTTCGACGCCGTACTTTGAATTTTTTGACAGTCGAGCCCCAAATCTGAGAGTGGGCCCAGTTCCCTATCTTGGCCCACATTATTGACTTTGCTGGCCTGGATGATGTGATCACAGGTTAGTTCTGCACATCATACCCATCTGAAAATTTGTTCTGGAACCCTGACTCACCGACTCTATCCCACTCGGATGTCCACTTCAACCCTGAAGTGTCGATATGGTTGAGTCGTCCGTCAGTTGCTCATGGGAGTGACAACGATACAGTGGGTCTCACAGCCTTTTTGGCTATCCATGATCGCCCTCGCGATAGGACGCGTGCACCTAGGTCTCGAGCGCTCTTCGTGAAATCATGGTTTGCGTCAAGAGACCTTAGCGGTGTGTCTAGGCTACTGGGGAAGTTGCGGCCCGAAAGCTCCCTTCCCTTTGGAGGGCGTCACCATTACGGCAAGAAAACTTGGTAAATTTTTTGCTACGACCGCCGTGATTAGCTACGGTTAACAATGTCCTTGTCAATCCACCCAGAGTTTTCCTTTCCCCCCCCGACATCGACGTTTGCGGTCGGCAGGACTCGTAATCGTGGTGATGCCGCTAAGAGTCGGGTCGCGGTAGTGGCGAGTATCGGAGTTATGCGACTCTCTCCGATCACATGTTGGATGGTCCCCCCGGAAGTACCCGACGGCGGTGTACTCTGTATGTCCCGAAGGATAAGCGGGTGGCTTATGAACAAAGTAATCTTAGTGTGAAGGGTCACTGAGAACTTAAGGTCAGGTACCAATGGAGATCATATTGCTACTAGTATTGCTAATTCTAGAAGCACTATAGACGCGGTTTCACATGGAATCATCCAGCTCGCTTGGAAGTTCTCGTGTCAGCCAGCAAACCCTCGTTGCCAACACCGGTCGGTGCATCCTTACTCCTACTACCTGTGGCTATTATCGTCAGCTCGCCGACGGCTATGTCCGAGAGCCATGCGTGTTCTGCAGTTGATGCTATGCACCGCAGCACTCCGCATGGGGTGCGTACATCAGTTTTGCGCTCTTCAGGTCTGAGGACGACAAAGCTTCGTAGATCATCGTCAGCGGTAGCTAGATACACCGAACAGGGAGTAAAATCAGTCATGGGGCAGGGGCCTTGTTTTCTGCAGAGAGCAGCGCTGCAGAGCACCTTCTACAAGTAGGAAGGTTTCCGCAAAGAGCTATGAAGTGTCGTCGCTTTGCGTGTCTCGCGTCCACGTCAGGTTAATGAATGTAACGCTAAGATTCGGATCCAATATGGGGCCCTTTGATTGGGCAGTTCACTCTGCATGGGATTATTACGCGATTGTGGATTTTATATCAAGGGTTTCATATCTCTCCCAACCCGCTGTCCTAGATGACCGAAGGAGTTTGTATATCTCATTGGCGGTATCGCCCGGTAGCGTGGGCTAACTGACTGTCCAGGATAGCCGTGGTGGAGTTGCGGTCGGAAGCCAATGGTCCTGCCGGAGGAGATTAGAATGGATGCGTCTCTCTCCACTTTCAGGCATTGGCTTGCGAAGCTCGACTAAATCTTGGGCTGGAGCTGGCGTTAAAGATGCATTCACTATGTAGGATTCTAGACTACTATAGTACCGTGCCAAGTTGCGTTATTGTCAGGAAAGGGTTGTACGCAAGAGGGGCGCACTGCCTATTTTTGCGATTTTTCTTGACCACTGGAGTTGCGCCTCTTACCGTGTTTCTTATCAGTGTCGGGCCGCACATGGCTTGACATTGGAAATGTCATGCCACCCACCGTAGGGCAAAATTTCTGCAATAAGTACGGAGTGGTGGTGTGTGTCCACAATGGAAGGGAGGGATGGGGGTGGAATTGGGGTGGGGGAGCCATGTTACAACAACGTATGACACCCTAAACTGAGCAGAGGGGGAGAGAGAGGTGCAGGGTTCAAAGTAGCATGATAAGCAGATCATCTGGTGGGGCATTCAGGAGTGACGAATACTAGGGTGAATTGGTCACGATCTCTTGCATAACTCCTGCAGCTGGAATTGCAAGCTGTTGTGCGACAACCCTGCAGGATGGACGCGCAGTCTTGGATGGCATCAGGAGAGGAGGGGGAGGGGTAATGGGGCGTCTGAGCCTTCTCGGGACCATTCATCATGGTTTTGTTGCTCAATCTTAGTCTCTTCTGGGCACAGCTGAAGAAGGGCTGAAGGAAGGGATGATATCCTAGGATGTGCGCACAGGTTTTAGCAGGACCGGCTGTTCCTGCGGAATCTCTAACCCGATTTGCCCCCCGAAAGAAGACTAGATCGAGAATCATGCGGGAAGGATGATCCCGAGGCATGCACACACACTATTGCATTGCGCAGGCCAACTGAACTGCTTTTGCCAGGAAGAGGTGGCGGCGGAGGAGGAGGGGGTGGTGGAATAATAATCATAAAAAAAAGGAAAAGGATAATAAATTAATGTTACTTCGATGATCGTCATTTGGCGACTATCATTACTGCCGGTGAATTTAATGTCATTTGCCTTGTGATAGCCACCGGGTAACCGGACTGCCGCCAAGGCCTAGGGCCGATCTTACGAGCAATGCTTCCGTGTAGATAAAACCGGACGATCCCAGACGATGATGGGCCCTTTTGGCTGGGTCTTGGATATAAGTCTTAGTATATCTTCTCAAGAAAAAAAAGTCATTAACTATCTCTACCCCGTATTCTACTCTATTTCACTCTGTCTGTCATTGCAGGCATAGCCAGCAGCCCACTTCTGTGTGAACAACTCTCACGAGGGGAAAACCGAAACAGAAGTAATCAAATCACACACTTATCGTGTGATTATTACGGGTCACGATAACGAGTGGGATCCTGATTACTACTATTGAACCAAATCAAATCAATAATCTAGCGGGAAAAAGCACACCGTGACAGTTCACCCCTCCAGCCTTGTTTCCCTTACGAAAGGGAACTCCCGTGGACATCCTGGTTCCTGCGCCCGCGGCCTTTTCTCCGGTATGTTGGTGATGTAACGTACTATTCAGGCTGAACATTTGCTTTCGCCTCTCTCTCTCTCTCTCTCTCCATTGCTCTTGCTTTCTCTTGTTCACCGATTCTCCATTCCTCAATCCCCATCACTCCGGCTCACCTTCTTTATGTTACTCCGTTGTTACTACCCTTTGAGCCCTTTATAAAAAAACATCATCCCACTGCACCCCCACATACACACTTTTCCAAACATTCAGTCTGGCCGAAGCCTAGCTCCCCTTCGGTCTACTTCCCGCTTCTTAAATTCTCAGAGTCTCCGCTGCCAATGCCGATACTACCCTTTCACAACCTTTTAAGACTTCTGCCATACTAACTCGTCTTCTTTCTTTTATTTTCCAAAAGCGCTGTCACGTCATCGAGTCATCGTTCTATCTTTAGAGCATCAGGTTATTCATCAGCCTGGCTTAGTCAACGCCGCTGGTAATCGCATCATCTTCGGGAGGACTTAATCGAAAGTTTTTCCCTACCCAAGGACCGCCTTGCCACTCCCGGGGCCAAAAAGGTCTCTCCGAAAAGACCCAAAGACGCAAGTGACGGAAACGGCTACTTTTGAAGTCTCCACTTCACCAACTTTCCTTGCTCATAGTGGAACCCGTTGTCGACCCGGTCTTGTCTGCAAATCTGGACAGTCCTAAGCAGATCAGTGGCAGGCTTTATTCCCTTTCGCGCCATAGTCCCGTCGCATTGTCGTGGTTCCTTGGACACCTTCTTTTTAAAATTTTCTTTTTCCATTATTTCCAATTTTTTTTACGTTTTCTCCTTTTTTAGTTTGATTAAATACATCAGCCTCCCGCCCACCCACTTCTCCCCCTTGACATTCCAACCATATCGAACGCCCTTATATCTTCTTGGCTCCCCCCATTCTACTAGCAGCTGCACACAAGCAGCTGTTGGTTGACACAATAACGTCATGGCTTTGAGTTTCTTTGGTGGCGGAGGTAGCTCCAGTCACGCGAAATACTTCGATATCCGGTGAGTCACGCCATTCTCGCACTTACTCCGGCACCCCGACTTCCTTACCCGAGTGCAACGGCTAACCACCCTGTTGTCGCATAACAGTCTTGATGAAGATTATATCGTATTTCGCGGAGGCGAGGAAGAAGCGGCCAGTGCCCATCTGAGCGGAAAGCTCATTCTTTGTCTGTCGGAGCCCTTGTCCATTAAGCACATCAGACTCCATCTTACGGGTATATCTCGGGTTTGGTAAGTGCTGTCGCTAATCCCCCGATGCGACAAGAATCAGAACTAATCGAGCTTGGTTAGTTGGCATTTGCCGTCGAGTACTGCCGGAGGCGGTAGAAAGTCATGGAGAGAACGTGTATTCTACGAGAAGACCTGGAGATTCAGAGATGCGGGCAAAAGCAAGACGGAGGTTCTGCCAGCGGGCAACTACGAATACCCCATCAACCTTGTTCTCGAGGGATCTATGCCGGAGAGCGTTGAAGGCCTTAACGATACCTACGTGACCTATCGCTTCAAGGCGGAAATTGGACGCAAATATGCCAAGGATATTATTGTTCGCCGGCCGCTCCGTATCATTCGCACTCTTGAGCCTAGTGCTCTTGAGCTTGCGCACGCAATGGTGGGTCTCTTCAGATACTCCAAGCTAGTGGAGGAGTTCTTTTTTACTAACTCTGATGGTAGTCCGTGGAAAATGTCTGGCCAAACAAGATTGAATACTCGATCAGCACACCAACGAAGGCCGTGGTTTTCGGAACTAGCATCCGTGTGGACTTCAAGCTGATCCCTCTCCTTAAGGGACTTCGTATTGGACAGATCGTTTCGCAGCTTATCGAAAGCCACGACCTTACCCTGAACCCCGAAGATTCTGATTCCGTCCGCAACACATACAAGAGTACGAGAACCATCTTGAACGATGAGCATGAGCTGGATGAGGACAGCGGTTTGGAAATCATCGATGAAATGGCAGAGGGATATCAGTTTTCGCGTCATCTGGATCTGCCCAAGACTTTGACTCGGTGCCTGCAGGACACTGACACCAGGGGCATCAAAATCCGTCACAAGCTCAAGTTCCGTGTTCAGCTCCTCAATCCTGATGGACACGTCAGCGAGGTATGCAAACCCATGGCATGAAGTCGGTACTGGGAAGTTTATTCTGACATTGTTGCAGCTTCGCGCGACCCTTCCCGTCTCTATCTTCATCTCCCCCAGCTTAGCCATTGACGAAAACAACAACCTTATCGACCAGACCCCTCAGTCCGCTCAAAGAGCGGTCGATAATCTCGCCCAGCAGGCTCCTCCCTTGTACGGCGAGCATCAATTCGATCAACTGTACAGCGAACTTGATCCTTCTGGATACCGGACTCCAGGCCCTGGAAGTGGCCCTGGCACTCCGTTCGGCACCCTTAGCCGTAACCTGTCGGCTGAGAACCTTGCTTCGATGAATGCTTTGACCAACACCGACATTTCCGCTTCTGCCTTGCACACCCGTCTATCGATCCTGCGCGCCAACGGGAATGATCAGCCCTCCCCTACCGACCAGGAGCATCCGGAAAACGACAGCCGTCGCCTGGGCGTTCCTCCCGATTACTTCGGAGCGGGATCCGGTTCCAACTCGCACAGCCCCGCCAGCCCTGAGCTCTCACGCCGTCCCTCTGACGAGGTCGAACACGACTACATCCATTCCGGAATGGCAACTCCCTACCACCCTCAATATGCCGAAGTCGAGACCCTGAGCCGTGTCCCAAGCTACTCCACCGCCGTCCGCACTACTGTCCGCCCTTGCGACTCGGAACTGCCTGATTATCAAGCTGTCATCGCCGAGGATGTTGTCATCTCCGCGCCCCAGTCGCCTCAGCAGGCTCATGTCCGCACCGCCGGCCGCGGGTCTTCATATTTCTCCGCTATCGATGCGCTCCACAGCCGGTCTGGTCTCCTCCACTCCACCTCCAGTCACGACGATGATGAACGTCGACTGCGTCTTGTCCAAGCTCGAGCCAGGGTCTAATTGGGTTGCAGATTTCATTGAGAATAATATTCGATCCCGTCTCTTCTGAGGGAGCAGGTGTCGAAAAAGGAGTTGGAGTCTATTTCTGCTAGGTCGGGGCACTCGGTGGTCAGGTGAAGGCGTGACTGGCTCCGCCTGACCGACTTTGCCGCCTAGAATACCACCTCAGCACATTTTCATCGGTCCTCGGATGCTGGCTGTCCGGGGATACTGCGTTTTCCGAACTCGGCCTATCCCATAAAGCATTAACAGCGTGTGCTACCGTTTCCCTGTTACAGTGTGTTTCTGAACCAAACACGGAAGATGTCGTTGTGCCTCTGAATGCTAGTCGCATACATACTTAGACTTCGTTGGGTGGGGATTTATTTTTTACTGGCGTTCACAACTAATAGACGGGATGGGTTGACTTGGAGGACAGGGAGTCCAGGATTTCGTTCTTCATTTTCTACCCTGATCATCATCCTTGATGAGATGACAGGCGCTTTACGAGCAGATATTTCATGACCCGGTGTCGGCACGAATTATGCACATGTTACCCCGAAAAAGACCTCTCTCAAGTGAGGGGCAAATACACTTTACCTGTTAAATAATACTTTCATACTCTCATAGCATTTAGCGTTACGATAGCAATAGATCTAAACTCCATCATTGCAACCAGACTTTATTTATTTTATAGTGTTGAAAGAGTAGTACCAGGGATGCAGTGAAACGTGAAAGCCAAGAAAACCTTGATTGTGAAGCGTAAATGAATGAGATTGTTTGGTTGAGCTCCCCGTTCTGACGTAGCCACAAAAGAACCAGAGGGGTGGCCATTGAGTGTGAGTCCCCCCTGGAAATGTGTGGCTGAGTCGGGATCCGCTTGCGGAGGTGGCATTTCCGAAGTGGGCATGGCCTGATCACAGAGCAGAACAATCGATGGATGCTACACGGGCCAGCACATCATCATCATCATCGTCGTCTGCGATCAATCGACCGGAAAGGATAGTGAACCTCCCCCATGGAACAATATCTCACGGTGATCCCTTGCCGGAATCGGAGGGACATCTGAGGAACGAAGAAAATCGTGGGTCATCCTGATTTGCGCCATTGAGGGGTAAACTCCTTTGGGGCGGTGACTTCATCGGTCGATCCTTGACCTTTCAGTAACAAATCTTTCTACCTTTTTGTTCTCGTTTGATTGCTTTTGGCGCTTAGAGATTTATTCTCATTTATCGACGTCAATCACATAGTTTTATTCCCCTCCTCCTTCTCACTCTTTCAGATCCCGATTTCCACTTCTGTCCGAATCACACATATACTTATACCGCCTCTTTCCTACCTCCTCCTCCTCCTCCTCCTCCGAGCGTCTGTCTCGCCGGCATCTGCTTGTCCTCGCCCCACTTCCTCCGCTTCAACAAAGGCCAACAAGCCCCTAATCCGTCTGCCCGATTCAACCGTCTTGACTAGTCGGAGATCGCGCTTCCGGTGTCCTCCACCTGTACCGCTCCGACTGCAGTTTTTATTCCTCGTGGGCGCGCCGTTCGACCGTCTTTTTCCCCCTTGAACAGCTGTGTCCCTGAGAGAGGTTGCACGCCGCATCTTTTTCTTTCTTCCCCGCAGCAGCAACCATGTCGACTCCTGTCAGTCCCGTGGAGCATAAGCTCCCTCAGCGTTCGGGAACAGTCACTAGCGCCATGACTGGTGTCAGTCGTCGGACTTCCATGAGTGATGACGAGGCCATTCCTGGCTCTGATAGCAATGAGGTAGGCGATAGGAAATACATTTTCTAGAGTTCTGCGATAGATGGCTAATGATTTCGCGACTGTTTAGACCACGAACCTCCTCCTCGAGCGTCTCCGTGCTTGGAAGCACATGTGTGGATATTTGGAAGAGTATGTGTCTGCGACGGCCAAGGTGTCCAAGTCGCAGTCCAAGGACTTCGAGAAGGTGTTGAAGGTGCGCTTGGCTACACTGGGCTGAACTTGAAGGGTTGGATATGCCTGTTATACTGATACAATGGGTTCCTTGCGTGCAGACTGTGAACGAACCTCTGCGAGAAAGCCACCATTTCTCCCAGAGCGCTGGCGGCGTTGCTTCTTGGTTTGAGAACATCCGCGCCAACACTCAGGTAAATATCTATTTTACCCATACATACAATGACGACATCAGCTCACAGCTGGCTCTAGGGCATGGTGAACCTGTACTCGGACTCTGAGAGAAACCTCAAAGGCTCCGTGCTTCCGACCTTGGAGCGTCTCCACAAGGAAATCAAGGCCAAGTCCAAGGAATTGCAGAACGGCGCTGCAAAGGGCGCCAAGTCTGTCGACAAGGCTCGCGGTGTCACTCAGAAGCACATTGAGCTCCTCGCTCAGCACACGGCCACACTTGACGCCGCGTCCCATAACAAAATCGACACGGCCCATGACCCTTACATTCTCCGTCGAGGTGTTACCCACCGCCTGAACAAGCAGGTTATCGAGGAGAACAACAACCGCCAGGACCTCATCGCTGTGCAGAACAACTTCCAGCAGTTCGAGGCCCATGTCCTGCAGACCGTTCAGGGCGCTATGGAGCAGTTCGTCGTCTACATGGGCGGCCAGCTTGACCGTCACCGCGCCATGTACACGGACATTCTGTCCTCCGCGCAAAAGGTTCCCCCGGACTTCGAATGGGTCAACTTCATGACTAGAAACGACCACATCCTCGTCAACCCCGACGCTCCGCCACGCTCCCTCTCCAACATCACCTTCCCCAACCAGGAGCACCGCGCCACTAAGCCCCTGATCGAAGGCACTCTGGAGCGCAAGTCCCGCGCCATGCTCAAGGGCTACAGCAGCGGTTTCTACGTCGTAACCCCCGCCCGCTACCTCCACGAGTTCAAGGACAACGACGATCTCCGCCGCGACCCCGCCCCCGAACTCTCCCTCTACCTGCCCGACTGCATCATCGGCGCCATCGACGGCTCCAAGTTCAGCGTCAAGGGCAAGGACGTCTCCAGCGGCAAGGTCGGAAACGCCTTCCACACCAACACCGAGCTGAGCTTCAAGGCCGCCAACTCCAACGAGGCCGAGAAATGGTGGACCGTCATTAAGGACGCCACTCGCGCCCCGACGTTCGCTTCTAGCACCACCACCTCGCCAACCAGCCCTGTTGCGGCCGAGAGCTCCCAGCCCCCCGCTTACGTCGAGAAGGAATCCGCTGCTGCTGCTCAGCAGGAACCAGCCACCGCTGCGTCCCCGACCACTCCGGCTGCTGTCTCTCGTACTAACACTAGCGGCTCTGGCACTCTCCCTACTGCGTCTGGTGCTGCCGCACCGGCAGCTGTACCTGCTACCACTGCTACGGAGGATAAGGCGTGATAACTATCTATCTTTTCTTATTTCTGGTATATATGCAACTAACTAACTTACTTACTTAACTACCCGTATAATATTCCCTTTGCTGCATGCATGCAATTGAACTTTATCCTTTTGTTTCCTATTCTCTGTTATTTTCTTGCGTAAATGGTGGTGCGTATAACACTTGATATTCTTCTGTTAATGTCTATATGATGGCTTTCATGTGGAGATTGAGATCTATGAAATTATGTCTGCTGGCTTGAATGTACGTAAGTCGTCGGCTTCTGCGATGCAGGGCGGCCGAGTACTAGTCACTGTTGGTTTCAAGCTTGCGCTTCGGTGTTCATACTCTTCTCATTACGTATCTTCGTTGCTACTTATGTTTCTGATGCCCAGTATGTTACAGAATGAACAAGCTAGTGTATTTACTCATCGATTCATCCGAGCGGATGTATTTCTGGATGTGTACATCGTCTTCAAAGATACATTATAAACTGCAAGAGAATGAGATAAGAAATATAGATTGAGACAAATGTATCGCATCGTTGTAATAGAAACGCTCAAGGGGGTAAAAAAAGTCTGGGAGAATCGTGGGAGCTCGTATGGGATAGATACAGTTCGAAGGAAATAAGTTAAATGCAGTTAATACAGACGAAAGTACGGGAAAGAAAGGTATTGAGGGTGAGAAGTGAAGTATGCAGGCTTAGAAATCTTCAGGACTTTCGAGGTCTGCCAGTTTCTGGCCCAGGAATCTCCCTAACGCTGCAGATTTGGACTCCAGCGCGAGCAGGATGGATGGCGAGGCGGAGAGGTTCAAGGTCGCTAGACGGGCTAGATCACTGCTCCGGTCGATTTCGTACTGGCTTTCGAGCTGCGCGTCTGAGCTAGGGCCATGGCGGCCTCCGTTGGCTGCTACAACGCTGGCATATGTCCTCCCATCATTGGCAGCGTCGTCGCCTCCGGGATGTGAGGATCCGTTCAAAATACTCTGTGTACCGTTTGGTGTTGCTGCGTCTTCGGCATCTCCCAGTTTCGATGGCCCGACTGCGGCAAGAAGGACCTTGTCTGCGATTCTTGTCACGACCGCCACTAAATCGTCAAGTTCGAAAACAATAGACCCGACATCGCCTAGGGACACAGACGGGGTGGTCACGTATGATGATGGGTGACTGGCGGGGTTCACGCCGGTGAGGTTCCCACATGATGCATTCTTAGCGTAGCATGTGTACGCCGCACCGTATGTTGCGCTCAGATTGCGCAGCTGCCGAGAAGGGAGGGAGGATGCGTATGCGAAAATAGCGCCATTGGTAGCGAATACCCTGTGAAGCATGGTTCATTAGCATCTCGGTCGCCGAGGGAGCAGGAATGTCCATACATCATAGAGGTAATTTCCGGAGGTGATAGGTTATCCTCTAGGAGGTCGCTGAGCGCCTCCGCATCCAGCATTTTAATGTCCGGAAGACCGGGTATCATGTTGTCTTCGTTGTGCTGCTCGTAGCAGTCTCCAAGCGCGATGTCTTGTTCAAGTGTTTTGTTTTCAATAATCCAGCCCTTGGGCGGAGACCAAGAACAGTCTTCGGGAAAGAAGAAGCAGTTGTCCCAGTAGTCACGGTCGTTGTAATCGTATTCGATCGGGTCTTCGGAGTATCCAAGGAGGTCTTGCGCGTACTGAACGGGGCTTCGTGCCCAATAAGGACGGTATGGGAGTTCGGGATAGACTTTGGGGTTTTGACCGGGGATACCTGGCCGAACTGGATGATCATATTCAGCCATATTGACTCGGTGAGGATGTATTATGGGATATTGAGGGTAGTAAATGATGTTCGGAGGTTGAAGGCAGAGTAATTGTGCTTGATAGGGGGTTTTGTAGAAGGGTAGAAAGCAGAGTGAGTGTCCAAGATAAGACGAGACGGTGGTAGTACAAAGGACGAACGTGAACCATTTTAAGAAGCCTCTTCTGCCACTTGGGCTTAAAGACACAACTAATCAAGTTGGAACTCCTGCCCAAGGCTGATGCCGAAGTCCGGATCTCATGGTCAAATGAGGCGTGGTATGATTCATCTGACGTTCCAGAACGCAGGAAGCGAGGCGTGGGGGGTGTTTCACGGAGGAATGTCACAGCTGGGGGCCAATGGCCACGACAGCAATGGAACGAGGTAAGGACACGAAAATAGCATAATGTGGGAGGTAAAAGGAGGAAAGGGAGAGGAAAAAGAAACGAAAGGCGGCAGACAATGGCCAACAAGGCCGATATCTGGGGCGAAAGCGAGGATCGCTTGGGCGGAGGATGACGATCCCTGGGGATTCAAGCCAGAGGGACACAACAGAATACGGGAGAGAAAAAGAAAAAAAAAACAAACCTTATAGAAAGCGAGAGCGGCCTGCGCTAGGGGATTGAAGACACGAGGAGGTAGCAAAGTGAGCGACCAGGATCAGCCAAGGCGAGGGAAAGAGGGAGTTGGAGATGCTTTGTCGGAGTAAGTGGAAAGGTGGGCGGCAGAAAAGAAGTATGGGGTATCCCGCTTCTCACCGCCTTGCCTAACTGTCATGATAGTAACGGAGTACTAAAGACCGAACCATGTGTACTCTACTACTACTAAATAATATGGTCTCGCTTGTCTCGGCAGGGAATTATTCCCCAAAGCATGAACTACTCCTTTAAAATAGGAACTTCAATGCGGTTCAGTGTGCGATTGGTAATTGGCAATTGTTCATTTAGTGTGTCATACTATGCCCGCCGCACTAGTATATATCCTTCCCCTCTTTTGGTTCGGATTTCTTATCACCACCGTTGGTTAAGTCTTCTCACAACACTGTAGACCTTTCGAGTATGTAATAGATCTGGAGATGCGCAGAGTTTTCTGGAAGCCAATTTTAGACATTGACATATGCGAAATTTAAAGAAATGCGATTATTAATGCAAGCTTTCGGCGGACCTGTTTGGATAGCGTCATAGGCAGGTGGAACCCCCACCTTTTTTCGGGTCTCCTCACACGCCGCTCACTAATCCAAACAAGCCATCTTTCTTTCTGTTTCCTTTCCCCCCCTCCTCCCCTTCATGTTTTCGCTTCCCGCTCTTCGCTCATCTTTCCTCAGGGTCCTCGTCCCAAGATTCTCCATCGTCCCTGGTACGTGCCTCCCTCATTTCCAGAGGATAGCTTTCCCCACTCGGATCGATTCCAGAAGCTTACCACAGGAGATGTAGGAACCAATCGATCCCTCGCAACCATGGCGACAGACACTTCCAAGTATAAGCTTAACCGTTAGTGGCTCCCTTTGCCCTGATCATCAGTCCGGTCTGGAGCTAACAATGTGCCTGTACGACAGACACCATGCTTCGGGTCAAGGACCCGAAGAAGTCTTGTATGTTCCCCTTTTATAGTAGGCTTCAGAGGTGCCTCATATACTCATCTGTCGCTATCGCTTAGTGGAATTCTACCAGTACCTGGGTCTCAACAAGGTTAACCAGATCGACTTCCCCGAGAACAAGTTCTCCCTCTACTTCCTTGCCTACGATGGCCCTCAATCTCTCCAGGGTGACCGTCACTTCACCGACCGCAACGGCGTCTTGGAGCTCACCCACAACCATGGCACGGAGAATGACCCCAACTACAGCGTGGTCAACGGTAACACTGAGCCCTACCGCGGTTTTGGACACATTGCTGTCTCCGTGGACAACATCGAGGCTGCCTGCAAGCGACTGGAGGATGCCGGATACTCCTTCCAAAAGAAGCTTACCGAGGGCCGTATGCGTCACATCGCGTTTGTCAAGGATCCCGATGGATACTGGGTCGAGATTATCCGCCGTCACAACGAGGATGTTGGCACTACCACCGATCCCTCCACCTACCGCCTGAACCACACCATGCTCCGTGTCAAGTGCGCTGAGACTAGCGTCAAGTACTACCAGGAAGTCTTTGGGATGACTTTGCTGCGCACCATTGAGAACAAGGATGCTGGATTCAATCTTTACTTCCTGGGCTACCCCGGTGCCAACCCTGAGAAGCGAGAAGGTGCCACCAACCCAGTCTCTGAGTGGGAGGGTCTGCTGGAGCTCACCTGGAACTATGGCACGGAGAAGCAAGAGGGCCCGGTTTATCACAATGGTAACACGGAACCGCAAGGTTTCGGACACATCTGTAAGTCATTCTCTATGTTGACCCCGCCCAATGGGTCTGCTTTTCGCAGAGGATAGAGGAGTCGCTAACAGCCGGTGATTAAAGGTGTCTCTGTCGATGATCTCAACGCTGCCTGTGATAGGTTCGAGTCTCTGAACGTCAACTGGAAGAAGCGCCTTACGGATGGACGGATGAAGTACGTGGCATTCATCTTGGATCCTGATAACTATTGGGTAGAGGTTGTCCAGAACGAGGCGCTTAAGCGTACTGGTAACTTGTAGTAGAGGGATTGTGTATTTAGCCAGCCTGCCGCTCATATACCGAAGATATTCGCACTGTTGTACTGCCGAAAAATAAAGGCGCGATTCGCGCTGCATGTACTTGTAGAGATAAAGAAAGTGTTGAGTAGCGCGGGATTTCTTTCCCTCGAGGGATGCTTGGGGTTACCGAGAGGCTGATTGGCCCACTGCGTGGGGGGATATCCCCCGCTTCGCAGGGAGGCCCGCCTATCAGAGGATCGCCAACACTTCCCCAGAGCATCGTCGCCGACCGGGCTAAGACCCTCCCCCCCAGCACAAGAACTCCAGACCATTATCATGGACGGTGTGCGCCATCTCCGTCTGTCCTCATGACCTTCTTCCTCCCTAAATTGTATCTAAGACCATGCATGCTGTCCGACTGCCCTCAGTCGATGTTGGGTGACCGGATGCTTTCTTCTTCTCACCCTCCTCGTTGAACTTATCTCCCTTCACCCTAACCCCACACCCCGGGGTATTCTCTCGCTGCTGTCGCACCAACTTAACAAATCTTGAAATCACCATGCAGCCGCAGTCTGAAAAACCCAAGCGGGCGCCTCGGAAGCATGTCACCACCGCTTGTGTTCCTTGTCGGGAGAGCAAGATCAGGGTATGTGAACTCTTCGCTTGGATCCTATCATCAGACTTGGTATAATGTTCCCCGGAGGCTGACGCAATTTCGCCCAGTGTGACGGTGCCACTCCGAACTGCCACAATTGCGAGAAGAAGGGAAAGGATTGCAAATACCAACACGGTGATGATAAGCGGAAGTAGGTTTAACTCGCTCGCTGTTTCTCTGTTTTCTCCGTCGGCCTCGTTGAATTTGCCTCTCGTGTCCTGGGTATCGACCGTCTTACGATAAAATCTGGATGGAATGTCGAATTTTCAGCGAACAGCGCAGGATCAAAATGGTCATTTTGTTTATCCGCGCAGCCAAACAAGGCTGACCGTACCCTTGCCAGAGTGTCTCTCCGCGCCGCGACGGAGTTATTTTCCGCAAGAATAGACCAACTATGCCAGTTCATCTACGATCATGGGTTGGAACCGCCCCTAATGAAACCCGAAGATGAGGCGGGCATGAACAGGGTTCTGGATACCCTGCAAATCCCTCGGGGGCTAGCGAAAAGGAGGGATTCGGTGGCGTCTAGTGGGAACAATGCGCAGCCCCAACCCGTTACTCAATCCCCGGCCCACACACCGTCTCCTCTCCCTTCTTTGAGTCGTCAACTAGGTGGCACCGAGGATGTACCCAAGGTCTCCTCTCCATCGCACAGTGTAATTCCTAATCAGGGTCTCATACCACCGGTCGAGAAAAGTCAAGTGTCTATGAACCCTTTGGCGATGAACCCGGGGTTGTCCGCCAATTATCCTTCGACACACTGGGGGTTTACTCTTCCGACGGCAGAGAGCTTAGATGCTCTATACGCCAACATAGACGGCGCTTCTAATCGTTCCAACGAGAATAGTACTAGTCCTGATAGCCTCCAGTTCACACCAGACATCACTCAACAACCGGGCGTTTTACTGAGCCAAGCGTGGGACCGAGACAATGAGTCAGATAGTGGTGAGGAAGACGAAGCGGAAAAAGATGTCATTGAGCAGATTTCGCATCGCATAGGGACTTTGAAGATCGCCGGAGATGGTCACCTCAGATTCTATGGAGCTACTTCAAATCTCAACCTTGTGGACGTGTCTGCGACACAACAACGCCAACGCCCAGATGCACGGACCGTCCGTCATGACGGACAGGATATATTGAACCATCTGCGGGTGGGGCAGCCTGTTGACCAGGCCCTCGAGGACCACCTTGTCGAACTCTACTTCACCTGGCAAAACCCTAGCACCTATGTGGTCGATAAGGATATGTATATGGATGCGAGGATGAAATGGAGGAACGACTTGATTGACACACCCTTTTATTCGGAGGTCCTGACAAATGCCATGTAAGTACCCGCTCCTCTTAAAGTTGTGACCTGTTCTGACAATTTCTAGGTGCGCCATCGGTAGTGCGTTCGAAGCCCGGTATCATCCCACATTCATCACGTTTCCAAAATCGCTTTCGGAGTTCTTTGCAGACAGGGCCAAGGCTCTTCTGGAGATCGAGTTGGATTCCCCTTGCGTTGCGACTGTGCAAGCTCTTGTTATTCTCAGCTCGCACGAGGGATCCTCCAATCGCGATGCCAGAGGTTGGCTCTATAGCGGTAAGCTTGACCATATCGGGAACTGCAAGTTTGTTACTGACTGTGTTTAGGGATGTCAATGCGACTTGCATTTGATCTCGGACTGCATTTGGATACGACACCTTACGTTGAAAAGGGCGACATAAGCGTTCATGAGGCCGATGTACGTAGGATTGCATTCTGGGGCAGCTATACTGCGGATCAGTAAGTATCACCTGTGATGATGAACCTGTTTAGATTAAGACTGATTCGATGGTACAGTTTCTGGGGGTTCTATTTGGGAAGGCCCTTCCGAATGAACGCAGGAGACATCACTATCCCAAAGCCTGCCTCCGATCTAGGAGCTGAAAAGGAAGGTATGTGGCACCCGTATGGGCTACCAATGAAGTCAGACCTACTGGAGAACGGATTGAGGAACCCGAATGAACTGATAAGCCGCCAATTCGCCGTTCTTTGGGAGATCGTA